CGCTTGCCCTTCACCCTTGCTTAGTACCTCGAAGCCTTTCCTTGCTATCTTCACCATCTCAAGCCATCAAGTCACATCTTGTGTTGAATCAACCATTCATTTGTATTGTTATCTTTTTCATTTCAATTTAGCAAGCTTCAAATATGAGACCATTCCATATGCAATCCCTTATTACTCATTAATTAATTCTTATGAGCTTGCTTTCACATAGAACATGGAAATCTCACAATAAATAAGCATTTGCATAAATTCCATTTGCATTGTTGTTTTATGCTTGAACTAGATTGTTTATATAACAACGCATCATTTTGGCTTTCATTAAGTACCCATGAGATAACATATTACCTGTCCACACTTAGCAAACGGGTTAGACCTTTAATCACATTGTCATTCAATCATCCAAAACCCACTAAAGGGCTAGATGCACTTTCAAAAAGAAGAAAAAAAAAGAAGCTAACGTACCTAGGTTATCCCACACGTCGCTTCCCGCCTCATTCCCGCGTGTGCTTCCCGCCTCGTTCTCACACATAGCTTCCCGCGTCGTTCCCACATGTCGTTTGGCCGAGGCATCGGGTCCGAGCATTTGGACCCGATGATTCCCGTTGCTAGGCCACGCACGCGCACGCCTGAGTCAATTGCATCCCCATGCCTTCTTCTTCCCCCGCCCCAGCTTCCTTCTCCAAAGGCAGCGACATGCCTCCCCCACTGCCCCCTCCTCTCCCGACCAAGCAAAGAGGTGATGCCATGTCCGTGCGAGTGCTCCCTTCTCTAGATCCAGCAAGCCTCCCACCTCCACCATCTCCCATCGCCCTGTCGCCGGTGGTAGGGTCTCGCCGGAGCTCCAAGGCCAGCTAGACCCTACCGTCGGTGGTGACCTCCATCTTCTCTCTCCCCCGCGCCCCTCCCGCATGCGGCCATGGCACCTCCGCACGAGCTCTGCCAAAGTCCAGCCATGGTGCCCCCGCCCCAACCTAGCTCGATCAGCGCAGCCGCCGCCAGCTCCCCTAAACCGCATGGCGACCATCCCCACCGCCTGGCCGGCCTACCTCCCCCAGACCGGCCACTTCTATACCCACCGGAGTTGAAGAAGAAAGGTTGGTGTGGCCGCGGTTGCAAAAGTTGGGGAAGAAGGTTGGCTTGGGGGCAGCGGTGGTGCGGTCTTCTCCATCTCCAGCGGTGGTGTTGCAGGTGGCGGCCTCCGTGAGTGCGGCCTCTCCGTCTCCAGTGGTGGGAGAAGGCGTGAATCAGGCAGGCGAGGAGAGAAGGAGTGAATCAAGCACGAAAGCAGGAGAGCACGGAATCGACGGTGATGCAGGTGTGTGTGGCGTCGTGCTTTGAAGCGTCTGGGCTCGGGAATAATCATTTCCAAAACTTTTTTTCTTGGAAAAAGTTTTGCAATTAACTAGAAAATTCATAGAAAAAATTTTTCAGCTCAAACAGAAAAATACAAGACCAATTTTAGGTTTTCTTTATCGTCACTATATTTTGGATTTTTGGTGTCTAGTTTTGAGTTATTTGGATGTTTTATGGGCTTTTGTATATTTATTTGAGACCCACGGGGATGTTGTTCGAAAGAAGGGAGAAAAATAAGGGTCGTGTGTGGATCCCAAATTGCACCCGCTACTTATTGGAGACTATTTGCTAACAAAAACTTATTGGAGACTAAATTCCCTCAAAAAAACTTGTTGGAGACTAAAATAAGTCACTCTATAAACCTAGTATCGCGCGTTCATTTGCCACCAACATGTTTCGTACCTACAATTCACAAAGAGGGAAAAACCGACAATACATCATTGACCTCTCTCAAAGGTTCTCGCCTAGCTACAGTTGAGAGAGGCGGGAAAGCGACCCGGTCATCGTCGGTGGAGCCGATGGCCTCTTCCACCTCCAATGGCTAGCGAGGGCGTCGTGAGGTGGCGAAGACCGTTGGCCTCTTGCTGGCTGGTGGGGTAGGCTGTAGTTTAGGTTCTAGGGTCTCTAGGTTTAGGTTTCCTAGCGGCGCCAGTGAAGCGGTGGCGGCAGTGTCGCAGCGGAATAAGTCCTCTCGGACTCTCCCTCACCTCGTTGGTGCTCCGCTCCAGTGACGACGGCAAGCTCGTGGAGGTGGTACTCCTTGTGTGGAGTCCCTGCACAGTAGTCAATGGTCGGCGACCATTCCTCTCGGCACTTGCCGAGACGAGATGGGTGTTGTTTCAAGGATGGAGATTAAGCTTTGGGTTTTGCGGCGATGTGGAGTGTGGATCAAGCTTGATTTCCCCATGGCGGTGGTCGTCGTTGACAGTGAGCTCCAATCCAAGGCCGACAGTGCTCGGGGCGCGGCCCCGGCCGCTGGGCGTTCTGGCGATGGCTCATCTCGTTCGTAGGGACGAGTGTCTACTTCGGCTCTGTGCAAAGCCTTTGTGCGATGGAGTTCTCTCGGACTTGGGGAAGATGGCATTTGGATGGGTCGGCTCTCGGCGACGACCGGCGGCGGCCGAGGCAGGCGGCCTTGGTGAGCAAAGGGACCAAGGGCATGCATGTAATTTTGTTTTTTCTAGGTCCCTTTGTGCAAATAGGTTGGGACAATTGTCCTTTGTATCCGAGTGACGCACCTGTATTTCTATGATTCTTTGTATGCTTTCCTTAATTTTAATATAGGTATTTTTATAAAAAAACATGTTTCGTACCTAAATCTTAGATTTTAAAAACTTATTTAATTATGTGTTAGATGACTAATATGTGTGATGCTGAAAAATGATAATTGCTTGTTTTCTACTTTGAATAATAATTTATACAACATGATGGTACATTAGTATATTACCTGTGCCATTAACATGCCTCACGGTGCACGCACAACCAGAATTTTCTACTTCTCCTAATAAGGTGGACTTCTTCTAGTGTTTTAGTATTCAAAATTTAGTATAAATTTTTCCTACCAAATGCCTTCTAATGAGGATTTTCATGTGCTATGATCAGTGGTAGTGTTTTAACATTAGGAGAATTTCACCATTTTTTGTAGGGACGAAACCCACGGGAGAAATAAAATGAGCTATATATCTATTGCATTAATTTTAAACGTGTTTGGTTTTCTGCTCGGCGGAGCCTGGCTCACATATACCAAACAGACTGAGTAGGGACTGGCCCAAAAGATGCAACTGCTTGATCACTGGATGTAGTGAAACAGGCTGACTAGAGTGTTTGTTTAGTTGATTGTACTAGAATACGCCATATTGAGATTGAAATGAAAAAAAAAAAGTACTAAAACAATATTTATTTTCTTTGAATTGATTGTATACTAGTTAATTTCATCATGTTGTTAATATTTGTTAATACCACATTTGCTTACCAATACGCTGCATCTCCATAGGCTTATTCCATGTTCGCTTGAACTTATCAGCCCGACTTATCAGCCATGGTATAATGTTTTTCTCTCATAACAAAACAATATCAACCGCAAAAACCATGAGCCGAACATGACTTGCTCTGGAGAAACGGATTTTATTTTCGGTCATGTTCGCCGAACTTATATATCATGTATCGAACATGGTCCAGTTCGCAGAGGCTCACGAACTGCTTTTTGCATCCCAGGGGATAGACTAAGGGCATATGGGGGCAACCAAACAAACTGGGGAAGTGCTACTGAGCAGGAGTTGAATTGACTTTAGTGTCCTCACTATATAGTAAATGGGCCATTTGAAAAAACACATAGATATTTTGATCACTATACTCATGGTACGTAGCTCTTAATTAAGTGACACTTATGTTCACATTAAATAGGATGAAGTATAAGGATGTTGTCAAAGTTACTTGGCCTTATACGAAATCGGTTGTTGGTATGAACTAATTATAATGGACAGTGAGAATATTTTTCTCTAGCAAATAAACACAAAAGATAGACCATACAAGACTCAAATAATTTAAATATAAGCACAAGAATTTGAAAAATTTCTAAAATTAACTCTATATTTTCCAAGCTTTTCTAAGGTTAAACTTGTTTTTAAGATTTTTTTTTTCAAAAGATATTTAGATAATTTTATGAAAAAAGAATCTTTTTATATATTCTAAAATCTGTTTGACCCAAAACTATTGATGAAATCCCGTTCATCCCCTATGGCAGACGTGGTGCCATGTGGCACTGCCATGGAACTATCGCCACAACTAGCTAGGTGTGTGGTTTATTTAGTATATTAAATAGTTCATGATGTGGGATATCTAGTTTTTGTTCTCCCCGTCCTACGGGAAATACAAGGACCTAAATTTATCTTAAGTTGAATTATATTAATTTTGATTAAAATTATAGAAAAGAAAAATAAAGGTTACGACATCATCACTGGGTACATTGTAAAATATATTTTTATAATTTACATTTTGAAGTATTAAATATTAGTACTCATCTCTATAAAATTGATTAAATTTTGTATAATTTGATTTAAGTCAACTTCGATCCTTTATATTTCAGGACGTCCAAATACTTCGACGAGAAAAATCAAACCACATTCATAGATTGGGGAAATCAAATGTATTTTTCCCGATGCACGCGTGTGGACGTGGGCTTCCCTATCCGTCGTCGGCCCAGCTCGAGCACGATGACTGTACGCTTTCCAGCCCAAGAGGTAGCAGTGGGCCTGGGCCGTGGACGCCAATCAAAGCTGATAGCACTCGGATGCCAAGTTTTATGTTATGTGGTCATGCTGCTGGGCAAAGTTCGTGATTCAGGCGAGCGAGTTCAGGATTCCTCAGTTTTTGCACATTTGCCTAGAGCTGCACTTGCGCTATAAAATTAAACCTTCAGTTTATTCACTAGTCAGAGGAAGCCTTTGTTACTTTGATCAGAAGTAGACATGTACTGCATAATCGTTGGTCAAACTTCTGAACCCTGAATTCCTACTTTTTTTTAGAGAGAGGAACCCTGAATCCCTACTATATACTGTACTGTAGTAATCACAATGGGCTCAGAATGGGTGTTGGAATTCTCATGGCATAGGCTGCTACTCCTTGAGACTATGTTCCGTTGGGCCGGGATGGCCGGGGATGTTCCCGGCCTGGAAGGAACCCCGGGGCGACTCGCGGCGCTGCAGCAGCTCCCGCCGGGGGGCGACTCGGCGTTCTCTCCTGCGGCGCCTATCATCTCCAGCCGCCTTCTCGCCGGTAACGCACCGTCCTCCTTTTCGTTCCTGTAGTCTCAGTCCTAGGGTTCTTGGGTGCGCGTTCTTGATTCCGCCCTATGGTTCTCGGGGGCGAGGAACCGACCTGCGGTTGGGTGTGCGTTTCTGATTCAGTCTGGATGCTTGCACATCTCCGTCCCCTTGCTGGTCGAATTTGTTGGATCAGTTGGCTTGGCTGTATATACTCGCATCGCATGCGTTTGGATTGTACTGTCTGTGAAGTGAAGATTAGTCGACCATTGACGGACGGCAATAGTTTCTTTGAGCCACTAGCTAGAGGCATGAGTTTTGGCACTGATGAAATGCTGACATCTAGAACACATGTTTGGATTGTATCTGAAGAGTAGTGAAATCATGGGCAAGTAGCATAGAGTGCTGGCCTGAAACTGGAATCATGGAAAGCCATGCCAATCAATCTTTCAATTAGTGCAGATTAGTGTTATTCTGGTTATTACTGAATATCGTTGATATTGATCAACAAATAGCAGATCCTGTTTGCAAGAATATATATTTCTGATCTCTCAGGGAACTTTCTGCTTTCTGTTACATATAAGTATAATAATATGAGAAAACTACAACGATGGCTTTCATCAAAAACTAGAATTGAGTTCTGATCTATTTGGAGTTTGAGGTTGTTCGATCCAAGCAACCCCCACCTGTACTTTGCTAAGTGTAACAAGCAACCCCCACCTGTACATTGATAGTTTGATACAATTTCTTTGAATACCCTTTTGAGTTCTAGACTTCCATTTTAAAGTTTTGTTACTAGCATCATTCTGACCTGTATCCTTCTCAGTGTATCTTTGTTAGTTTTGATGGGCAAACTACTATCCACATTTTTATCATGGCCATAAAATTGAACTGTTTAAAGACAAAACATGTATCAGTGGCAATACACAGGAAAGGAAGGATAGATGTGATCTATACTAATATAATAGGGTTTTAAAAAACTGTAAGGTTGAGTGTCTGATCTCCAACTCTTTCTACACAGAACATAATGCCTTATTAACTGTGCAACTTTTTACCCAGCTGTGATGACATTTTCTCTTTAAAGATATTGTATTGGGAGGAAACTGTATTGCTATGCCTTTTCATTTGCAACCTGACAAACATACATTATGTCTGCCTCTGACCACAGTTTACTTTTTTTTTTGTCTAGAATGCCCGTGCCCAAGTAAGAATAGGAGAGGACGAGCCTCCACCTAGCTGGGATCCAGTGTCTAACCCTTGGGAACTTGTACCTAAACCTAGTAAAGCGAAAGGTAAACGAATGCTCCAGTGATTATAACTGATTGTTTGCTGTTAGTTTTTCACTTTTGTGTTATTTGGATTTATTATTAATTTTGCAATGGATACGAGAGTAAGGGATCGAATTAGAAAGAGGAGGGATGATGATGATGATGACATGATGTTGTTTATTCTCCCTGCATTGCACCTGTTGGATTCTAGTGGGGAAAGAGAAAGGAGTGAGGGAAGAGAAAGGAAGCAGCGGCATACATCAAAACTATCAGGCGCTGAAAATGAGGTTGGTGCAATAATTCCAAATCTGCGAAGTGAAGGGGAAGAAGGTGATGCAAGTGTGCAGCCAACTGAAGAGGAAGAAGCTGCAAGTTTTGAAGCTACAAGTGTACCAAGAAGTGTTGATGTTGCATCAAGAAACAGAGATGAAAAGGAACCAAAAAGACAGAGAAAGAGTGGTAACATAGAAGGACTGCTGGAGAGATATCTTGACATGAGGATTAAACAAGCTGAGGATGAGGCTGCACAATTAGCAAAAGAAAAGGAGATTTCTCAAGGTAGTGATTTCTCAATCAAGATATGCATATCTGTTCTCAACACATTGGAAGTGACACAGGTGGAGAAGGCCAAAGCATATGAGGTCTTCAAGAATCCAGACAACAGGCAAAAAAATTTTGAGTGCTTGCGATGAGGATCAAGAATCTGCCCTTATATGGTTACGAAATGAAATGGCTTAGAGGTACCTCTACTCTTCATATGACTGCAACTTGCATCCTATAAAATTGATTATGCAATGGTACAATAGGAAGTGGAAGTAAAGTTCTTTCATACCTGCATTTTCAGTAACTGACACCTTGTATCGACCTTCTCTCTTTTTGTTCTGGTAGAGACATGAAACCTTAGGTTTTTTGCTCTTGATTCTGTCAGGTGGCATATACTATGTAAATTTGGTTGTACCGTGAGACACTTGATTTAGTCAATAATGCTGATTATTTTTAAAGCAACACACTGAATATTCACCTCGCTTAAATAGCTTATAGTTGCTGACAGGTGCTTACAATGGCATTTTTCTGTTTATGAGAGTTACATCTTTGAAGGTAAGGAGCTCGAGTTCTGCATGAAGTAGCTCCAGTCTTCAGAGGAAGAATGTCTTCTCTGTTTATATTGTTTATAAGTGTCATTCTAATTAATGTATTGAAGATCTTTTCTCAGCTGTTGTTATGTACTTGTTCTGTCAAAGAGAGAGATGCATCATTGTATGGATCCATGATCTCGTCATGTTCAGTTCATTGGAGATGTAGTCTTTTGCAACTTATCAGTGTTAACAGCCATGAGCTTATTGTTCTTGTTGTTTGAAAAGGCATTAATATTGAGCTGATTTTTATTTGAAGGTCTACGGGGGGATTAATCCCCACCTGAATATTCAGCTGAATTTTTATTTTAAGATAGGCCATTGAGCACAATCAGTATTAGTACCGAACACATTGTAATAAGGCTGCCTTCATTGTACTAAGAATTGCATCTCTCCCTGGATTAACCGAACAACCTTTTGGAGCCAGGGATTACAGCCCGAAGGGATTATACCCCCATGGGGTTCAAGTGACAGGAGGGGATTAACTCAATCCCTCCATGGATTAAATCCCTCCCTGGAATGTAACCCGGCCTGTGAACCGAACGAGCCCTGAAGGGGGGGAAAAAAGAAAGAAAGCTGGCTGTCTGTTTCAGAGTTTTGGTTGTGACAAATCAACTCACAGTTTGCTTGACAGCGTCTTTCAATCAATTTTCAAAGTACAGTTTTCACAGTGTTCGGCTGACTTGGCCTGTTTGTTTCTTTCAATCAATTTCCCGCCAAACGTTTTGCTTAAAGTACCAGAAAATCACCAATATTATCTCTGCTTATTTTCTGAAACTAGATCCGAAACCATCCGAAATCCAGCTGGTAGCAACGCTGATTGAGCAATTTTCTGAAACTAGAGCAGCTGGTAGCAACCATGAGTCCTGCCTGCAGTGTGTTTTTTTTTTATTTTTTGAGAACAGATAGCTTCGTTCCACACTAGTCTTGCAAACTTAGTTGGCCTTCAAATGGTTTGTCTCAGTGCTCTCAGAATTGCACTATTCAGGCATGCAAACGGATTCAGAACTTTCAGTCCAGAATTTTAGAGATGTCTGTTTTTTTTTTCCGCTACCACTGGCGCCCGGACGTCCGGCCCCAGGCCCACGTCCTGACACACCTCCCGCGCTCCCGTCACGCATCGCATCCCACGCACTCCATCCCATTCCCGACCAATGCCAACGTTCGAAACTGTGGCCCGTGCCCCACACTGCACAACAGAAACTGCGCCCATCAGCGTCCGCATGGTGGAACGTGCCCCACACCCGCACAGTAGAAGAACCGGGACCCGCGCCCACCTGCCCCGCCTACAGATGCGCGCTGAGGAGGCATCCGCAGGCCTCAGGCTCTAGCACGTGAACCACGGCGGCGCACCGCCAGCAGCAAACAGACGGTGGCATGCAACATCCGATCTACTTTTGAAACATCTAGAGGAAAAATTTGCAACATAAATCTGAAAATAGATGAAACACTTGAAACATGCTTATGTAGCCATTGCAACATGTGCAACACCATGATCTACTTTTGAAACATCCAGATGAAACATTTTGCAACGTAAGTGTGAAACAGATGAAACACTTGAAACATGCGTTTGAAACATGCGTGTGTAGCGTTGCAACATGTGCAACACCATGATCTACTTTTGAAACATCCAGATAAAACATTTGAAACAAACGTCTGAAACAACTGAAACATCTGAAACACGACGTCGGAGGCGGCCATGGCCTACCTGGTGAGGAACTACGATACCGGCAGCGACCTACTCCTGGTGGCGCCCGGGTGGTGGTGGCGCAGTGGAGGCCATGGCCATGACGGCGCAAGGTGGATGGGGCCAGAGCGGGGGACGCCTCGCGCAACAGGGCGCAGGATTGGGGGGCGCGACGCGGGATGGGGTGCGGCATGGGATGATCTCAAGTAGCAATGAAGTTGTCGATGAATGCTTGCTTGAGCTCTTGCCAAGAATCAAAGTAGTTTGCCGGCAAGCCGACCAGCCATTGGTGGCCTGCATGGCCGACGGCGACTGGGAAGTAATTAAACATGACGTGCTCGTCAGCCATGGCTGATCTGCACGTGGTTTCGTAGAGCATGACCTATAACTCGGGGTTCTCCTTGCCATCGTACTTCTGGAGTTTTTCGAGCTTAAAGTTTTTTGGCCACACGACTTGGTGAAGGTGAGGAGTAAACTGCTTCAAACCCGAAGGGCCGTGGGTAGTATCATATTCCATACGGCGATAGCTTTCGTAGGATGCACGATCGTTGGCTCTTTGGTTGATGCGATCGTGCAGATCACGTTCTCCGAGGGAATGGCGGAGATCGTTATTGCCATCACGGCGATCCCGATTGCCGCCCTGGTTGACCCTACGACCGTGGTTATCACGGCGATTGTCATGGTTTTCTCGTCGATTATCGTCCCGGTTGTAGCGGCGGTTGTCGTCCCGACCACCATCATGACCACCATTTTCGCCTTGACGGTTGTCCGGTGGGACGTTGTTGCGAAAGCCACGTTGGTTGGGTGGCTGTGGGCAACTTGAATACTGACGACTGTGGCTTGATTCGACTGAGGCAGTCGGAGCCCGAGCTTGGTTCACAATCTCTGCGGTCTGGGCCATAGCAGCCGTCAGGTAGGCTTGCATATCATCACGAATTATCTGGATTTCCAGGGTATTGGGCAGTCGTTGCATTGTCGCCATAGCAACAGCTATGTTGGCGCTTGGAGTCCTGAAGACCTGCTTTTCCCCTACCCTATCAAAGGCATTATTGAGATTCGCGTGGCTGGAGCCTTATGCGTCGTGCCTCCACTTCTACCTCGGCTTCGGCTTGTCTGCGATTAAACTAGTCAATGTTGCGTGCTTCGCGTGCTAGCCTTTCTTGTTCTGTTTCGCCAACTACCGGGGGTTCATCATTACTGATGACATTGATTAAGTCTCCTTGCCTTGGTGGGAAGGATGGGAATCGTGGAAACCCCGGGGGCGGTCTGGGATATCCAGATCATAATCAACTTCTTCATCGTCGCGAAGCTGAAGCTCAGTGTGGATGGAGCCATTAGATGCAGTGCTGGACGGGGAGCTTGAGCCGCCCTCTTGAACTGTGTGGACCGATCCTTCCTGATACTCCTCAATCCGAACCATGTTGACGAAGTGGCATGGCTTTGACCGAGGTCGATGTATATTGTACGCATAGTTGGAAGCAGTGTTTCGCAAGCCGTAGGGCTGTGCCTGGTAATTCTCCATCAAGGCTTCGCACTCGGAGAGCCGGAGACCCATTGCGGGGGCTGGTTGGCGACGAACGGAGCGCCTTTTAGGAGTAGACATGACCACGAGATCCGTACCGAGTCGTGCAGGACGACTGGCCCAAGCTGGTCGGGTAGATCTATTGTGGATAGTGGCTACCTTCTCGGTAGGTTGATTTTGAATCAAATCTACCAGAGTTAGGGTTTCAGCAAGCTTGGTGCCGACCCGATCGATGGAGTCGAAGCAGTCAGTGTTGTCGATCTGCCACCCTTTGTAGCGAGGAAGCGAACGACGGGTTGTCGGTGTGGCTGAAGACGATGCTGGTGTGGCCGGAGCCAGATCCAACGTGGTCGGAGCCGTAGCCGATGCTGGTGAAGCAGTGGTCGACGCAGATTGGATCTGCGCCTTCTCCGTGGTCATGGCGATGAAGTTGTCGGAGCTAGTGGTCCAGGTGATCTAGCCGATGGTGAACATGAGGCCATTCGGCGTAGCCATGGAGCCAGGAATGATGACCATCTTGTTCGTCTGGAGAGTAGTACGCACACCCCTACCTATCGCGCCACTGTCGACAAAATATGATCGGCAGTCTACCTAGGGGTATGCCCAAGGTAGTAGATTATCGGTAGACATGTGCGCAAGCTACAAACGAGATGATGACGCAAGACAGACACGAGGTTTTATCCAGGTTCAGCCGTCGTGAGGGCGTAATACCTACGTCCTACGTCTGATGGTATTGCTGTATATCAATGAGATTGTTTTTGAGAGGGGTCCCCTGCCCGCCTTATATAATCTGGGGGGCAGGGTTACAGATCTGGAAACTAATCCTAACTGGTTACAATTACCATAGTTGGCCGGATAAGGATTCATATTCTAACTGACCAGGATCTTGCTTGATCTCCAAGTCTGCATTGATTCCTTGCGCGGGACTCCGAGCAGATCGGCTGGGCCGCGCGTCGTCTTCTGGTGGACCGAACCCCCTGGTCCGGGCCGGCCCAAACCTAGTCGTAAGGGTATAGGGGTTAATACCCCCACAGCCACGGTGGGCGAGACAGAGTGGAGCGAGCAGACGGCGTGGTAGAGCGGCCACGCAGGGCGGATGTCGATGTTGAGGCAGGCGGCCTCGACCGCGACCGTGGTTGGGTGAGTGGGGGGGAAATGGTAGTCGAGATTTTCTTTAGGAACACACGCTGTAGAGAGGTGAGTTGGGGGAGAACACGGGCGGTTGTCTGGGCCGCCGGTCCGTAGGTGCAACGACGCTGGAACGGACACCGGCGGAGGGGTGTTATTGTTTTTTTAAAAAAAATGTACAGCTGCCCCTCTGTATTAAGAAGAAAGCGGATTTAGTTCTACTCCTACTTCTGACAAGTTACGTAGTTCAATACAACGCTTTTAGGCGAGCTCGCGGTGACTACTACGGGCCTGTTCGCTCGTCTGAATTATGGAGGAATTTGGATGGTTTGGAGAAATGCTGGAGGAATTTGTGAAAGAAAAATACTGTTCCGGATGAAAAAATAAGCGGATCAAGCTAGCCGGGTTTCATATCAGCCGAACATGGGCAAGGAAGCACAAAGCGCTAAACCGCCCTATACTCACTCACGTCCTAAACAACCTAGGTGAGCTGCTGCGCCGCGCCAGCTCTTGACAAGAGTTGAGCCGCCTCGCATTTGGCGGACGCGGACCAGACCTCGCGCGTCAGTCAGGGCCTCAGGAGGGGACAGCGAACGTGATCACACGATCCTTGGGCTTGGTCACACATTTGGCGGCGAGGTGGAGCATCGAGCCCATGTCGTGTCGACGACCCTGTGCAATGGCGCCTCCGGAACGATAACCAAATTAAAGGAAGACGTTGATCTTGCGCGGTGTCCATGGTTTCCAAATTATCTAGCTTGTGTCCCGCGAACGCCTCTGTGAATCTGATCCTAGGTGTGGTGGAGCATGTACAGCAGGCGGACTCTGTGGTGAATTTGCCGCCCGGGGTCCAATGCCAAATAATTCGATCGGTCCCGCGCGCGCTCCCGCCCTCAAGCTGAGTCCACCCGTTTGATGCGCGCGATTTTTGTCGAATAAAAGCGACATCGAAAAGTTCAAAATTTTTGCAACTAAACGGGGCCTGAGTCCACCCGTTTGATGCGCGCGAACCCCTGGGCACATCGCACATGCACATGGCATGCAGTTTATTATTCTGAACCCTGGGTCCGTCTTACCGGCGTCGGCCATGGGCCCCGGCTGCAGGTCCTGAGGCATTTTGCAAGCAAGCGCGCTCCGCGGCTGTTCTCGAGTCTGACTGAACTGAACCCGGCGCGTGCGTGCCGTTCTGGACTGGAATCTCGAGGTCGAGGGATGGCGAAACAATGATTTGGGGCCAAAAACTGCAGGGCATATGACTTGTCGCCACGGAGGATTGCGTTCCGCTCAGAATGTTGACAGCTCTGCAAACGTGGCCCTTACTTGCTAGCGATAGCATTGGTTGAGAATACCCATGCTTCGTGCAGTGGTAATTACAGTAGGTACTGCTAGTTGCAGTTTACCAATGAAATGAAGCTAGCATTGGAGGGTGAAAAGACGAGCACAGTCAATCAGTACAATACTCGCTTAGCAAGAGGCGGGAAAGATGAGACAACGGCAGCGGCATCTTAGGACGACCAGCAACGTGGGATGGCTGACCACTGACGAGGGGGGAGCCAACAGGCAAGCCGAGCTCGTGATACGTGGATCGATCGAGGTTAGGAATCAGTGAAGCCACAAAGTGATGCCGATCGATGATGGCCCCCACGCAAATTTCATCCGTTCCGTGATGGTGCTTGGTTTGGCTACCCGATTTGTGTGAGTGTTTTTGTGGGGCGAAGTGCATGCGTGCAGCGTGCTGCTGATCGATGCAGCTTTCGGAAGGAAGCACAACGTGCCGTGCTTTTGTTAAGTCGTTTGGACTACGTGATCACGAGAGGAAAAGCAACTAGGAATAGTCGGTTCGGTTCGATTCGTAGCGCTTCTAGTACTTCTATTCTGTATATAGTTCTATTGACGTGAGAGCAAATGGTGTGTCTGAACTTTGGATCACCATCATCATATTAAATGGGAAATGCAGAGACGGAGCCAAAGCCAAGGTGCTGAGCACACGACGGCAAACGAAAGGATCGGAGCGGCAGGTGGGAATGGGTCATGGGCGGCAGGATAAGCAGAGCCACAAAGGAAGAAAAAAAAAGAAAGATTGCCAAAGCTACATGTCCCTACTCAGTCAGTCACGTGCCACGCCATGTGTCAGTGGCGTGGTTAGGCGAAATCAACATATGCACCCGTGGTTGGTCGTCTGGATTCCCTCCCCTCCACCACAGAAGCCAAGCAGGCAACACGGAGCTGTATTTTTCGTGGATTGTTGACCGAATACAGTACAAGCAAGCAATGCCTTGTGTCATGTTCCTGTATCCGAAGCGAGCAGAGGAGTGCCCCCGAATCACCAATGCAGCGAAGCAACATGAGAATGAGCGCCTGGATTTGATAGCACTCGCTCATGCGTTTTCTACTTTTCTTGCACAGGCAGTTTTCTACTCCTGTATGACGTATGAGCATCAAATCAGGACAAGATGGAAAGACATTAGTAGTGGCACCCCTCTCCTCTCTCTCATTAGTGGCCTTAATTAGCAGCTGCTAGAGGAGGAGACACCTCGAGCTCGAGATACGCAAAAGTGCTGTTCCAAAGCACCTAAATTAAACCGTGTACTTCCAGGAGTTCTTAAACTCCAGTCCCTTGCGCTTATGCTATTTCGTACTTGGACCCTGCAAGACGCGGATTTGAGATTTCAGAGCACTCTCCAGACTTCAGGCCACAGACGAGTAGCTAGCTAGCTTCATTTCATCAGCCGCCAACCAAGGAGGGGACACACCCACTCGCCCCCGGCTCTCAAGTCCCCACCCCTAATGCATTTTGGTTTTGCGCCAGCGCGGGAGATTGGGAGCGGGAGGCGCGAGGAATCCACCTCCTCTACTGCTCTGCTGCGTTGATCTGATTCTCAACGATACTCACCGAGACAGAGGTAATGGGATTTGCCGGCTCGTTTCTGGGACTGGTACTGAGTTCATTTGATTTCGAACTCCTGCCTTTTTGCTAGTACTTTGCCCGCTATGTTAATGTTGAAGGTCAATGGGTGGGATTCGGGCGCTGGAGATAGGCCAAAGTTGGGTTTGAGGATGGCGGGGCAGGTTTTCTTGGTGAAAAACGACGCGTTTCTTCAACAAGTGCGGACGTCTATCGATTTCATGCAGGGGTGAGAGTTTCTGGAGGAGGGTTTGACTATTTGGTAGTCCGATTGTTTGGGTTTTTGTGGGATTGAGGGTGCGGTTTTGGTGAACGCTGAATCTCGTTTAAAGGTGCGAAACCGTATGTGTTTATTGGGGGGAAATAAGGTTATTTTGTTTTACCCTCTAGAAATAAAATGCTGGTTGATGCATAATGCATTTCAAGTATTTTCTTGTTTGTGCGATCTAGTAGCTTTCCTGCACGAACTGTTTGCAACTATCTTCAAGTTTGACCTATCGTCCCCCCCTGAAACAGAGAGCTCCATGTTGTTCCATTGATAGGTAGAACATGGACCTCTTGCTTTGATGTTCCAGTACAGCATCCTTATTTGTGACTAGCTTTCCACCCCCCCTGAAACAGAGAGCTCCATGTTGTTCCATTAATAGGTAGAACATGGACCTCTTGCTTTGATGTTCCAGTACAGCATCCTTATTTGTGACTAGCTTATGTGCCATAAGAAAATCCCCATTTATAACTAGCAAACAAGAAATACTGTCATAAGAAAACAAGTGTTGATTTTGGACCTAAATAGCTAGCTATGTTTGTGGTTTCATTTGCAGGTACTATGGGGAACCGTTCTCGGCTAAGAGCAGGTAAGGAAAGCATGAAATCAATCAGTGAAGAAACTGAGAGCACCAGCAGAGAAACAGAAGCAGGCAAGTTTCACAGATTGAAATGCACAGATGAAACATTGGGAGAACCGTGCCTTGACAGGATCCCTAATTTCCACTGCAAAAGTTTGCCTTCAAGATATCGAGACGCAAACCCGGAAGATGGCATCATGCACAAGCGCGGCTCGATGTACCAGAGTTCCGGAGAGGTTAGCAGACTCAGGAATCTCCAAGGAAGGAGCAAACTAAATTATTCGAGCAATAAAGACACATTTTTGTCCTTTGAGGTTGCCAATTCATCCTCTCAGTCTCAGCCTAGCACAAGTGGTGCTTGCTCCTTTCCACTGCGGAGCTATTCATGCAATACAAGGTCTTCTATGGGGACAAATCATAGAATTTATCAAGCTTCCAGGGAGATTATGAAGCTTTCACTCCATGAGATTCCTGAGGATGACTTAACACTCGAGAGACCACGCAGGGACTGCAATTTGTTGAAAAATGATGCACTAGACAGTTTCCTGGAGATATCACTTGAAGAAGATACCAACAAAGGTTCATGCACAAATGCAACCCCTCATTTGCCAGAAGGCAATTGTAGCAAAATTGGAAGATCAGATTGCCAACAGTCAGTTGTTTTTTGTCCTGATGAAAGAGATGTAGTTAATTTGCCCAAGTCCTTGTCTACAAAGGTGGGTGTTTTTGATACTACATGCCCATCAGAATGTGTCGGCAACAGAAAGGCTCGTTCTAGTCCATTCAAGAAAATTCTTGATCCTATCATGAAGTCGAAGTCTCAACGGAACCCTTCTCTGATGGAAACAGAAGATTCAAAATCAAGTAGTACTCCATTTGGAGGAAAAGGCAGGGTATTACGCAAATCTTTGTTAAGTGATATCTCAAGGGCTCAGCAAAGCCTTGCACCTGATTGCCAGACAAATGGGGAAGCCCAGAAATTGACCGTTACTTCATCGCCAACTCATCTTCATGCTGTTATTAAATTGGATCCGAATCACGGTGCTCTCGGTTTTGTGTTTAGTACAAAGGGCCCAGAAGAATCAATATATGTTAATACATGGAAAGCTGGGGATGAACTGAATTGGATTTACACTTTCCATAGCAGTGGCAAGCGAGCAAGCACTGTGGGAAGGACCTCCAAGGATAGGCATGGGTGTCTACCTCCGATTGTAGGCCAGATGCATGTGTCTTCCTTTTTGTACTCTAGTGTTGGAGAAGATGGTACTTTAAAGAACTCAGCCACCACTGAATTTGTTTTGTATGACATTGCTCATGCAAGACGGAGTTCTGCTGTTGAGAGAATTCAATGTACAGATGCCATTCGACCATCATTCTGCAATGTTGTCAATAGTTCAATGTCTGGACATACCAGAAATGATCTGATGCAGAGACAAAATACTACAAGGACTGACTCAGATCTATCGACATCTTGTCTTTGGTCTCGAGAAGATCTTCATCCTCATTTGGAGGTTGCTGCCATTGTAATCCAGGTGCCATTTCATAAAACAAAGTCCAAAGAATTGAAAGCTGGATCATCACCTGGTACTATCAAGGCGGTTACAGCAGGTGGTGCACATGGGTTACCAAGGGATGATGAGGCCAGCCCATCACCATTACTTGACCGTCTAAAGTCCGGTGGAGCCTGTGATTGTGGTGGATGGGACATGTCTTGCCCAATTGTTGTCCTTGACAATGCATATGATAGTTACTGGGCTGATTCCATAATGAACGAAAGCAAAGCTCCTATGGAGCTATTTGCTCAGGTACACCTGATTATCTCTTATTCTTTTATCAGATAAATAGTGGTTACTGTTTCATATTTTAGGCAGTTCAGGGACAACTAAACATGACAAAAGTAAGATTTCGTATGTCCAAATATTCATGTTTCCAAAAAAATGGCTGCCTGTGACATTTTAAGATGAGCTAGGATACAAGTTTGCTATTTGTAGATGCATTTAAAGTTAACAGGGTAATTGTTTCTTGTTTTACCCTCCCTAAAAGCTATGCAGCAAGATATTTAACAACTAATTTTGTACGAAATATTTACGAACACATTCTGAAGCTATATTTGACTAAATGACACATTTAATTTATATGCTACAAATGTTTGAACAGGGTAACAAAGAAGTTCTCCCTGCCCTTTCGATGAAGGCAGATGGGAATGGACATTTCTCAGTGGATTTCCATGCAAGATTATCAGCATTGCAGGCCTTCTCTATCTGCATCTCTTTGCTTCACTGTTCTGAAGCTTCTTCAGACATTGGTATCGAGAAGTTTAAGAACAAGCTATACTCCAGCTCGCTGAAGATTCTCCTGAAGGAGGAAGTGAGGCAGTTAATTAATTCAGTCACACCCAAGGAGAAGAAGAAACCAAAGAGCAGGAATGAAAAGACACCTCCATCTATCGTCATTGACCCTCCCTTTTCTCCCATGGGAAGAGTATAGCATGTGGATAAGCAGAGCAATAGCTCTTGGGAGTGGAAAGATAAGAAAACCAGAATCTTCTCATCATGTACAACAATTGTCAAGCAAGTATTAGTTTTGACCATGTTCATTTTTGTGTGAGATAGAAAAGGAAAATGACCCTGTTCATAAGGATAGATGGAGCTGGTAGTTTATAGCAGTAGTCTTAGCTTTGAGCAACCAAGGGAGGGCATGAATTGTTGTTGCAATCCACCAGAGGATACACAAATGTGTCTCAGCCAGTTCTGAAAGAACATGAGCATAAAAAACATAATGTAGCCATTTTTCCTAAATGTAACAACATTCTGAATCTCTGATATGTTTTGGTTGCAAGGGCCTCTTTTCTCATTCTCATTCAGCTTTGTGGAATTAAGATATCTGTTTCAATCTTTATGCAACTGGCGATTGCTTGACTGAATGTGCATTGGAACAGTTAAAAATGCACCACGATGAGATCAAACCTTTTGGCGCCATGTCTGTTTCAATTCCTGCATTGGTTGGCAGACTGGTGGGTCTGCTAGTTGCAATTGCCCTTGTAGGTTTGACATTTATGTGGTGCTTTACTGTGTTTCATAAAGGTTGAATAGGAGCACAAAAGTAAACATGGTGCAACCATTTCCTGTTTCTTGTATATTTTTGCTTGTTCGACTTGCAGCATCCAACATGTTTACTGATCCTTTTTTTTCACTTCAAGTTCTGGGTGCGAGCCTGATAGTTCCACCTAAGCAGTTTGGAGTTGGAGCCCTGAAGAAGTTCAAACTTGTTTAAAGTTGCTAGTCCATGGATGTTTCTTTTGCAGAGGCATCGAGGTAGGTTTGTTCGGCCTCAGAGTTGCAACTTTGCATCTGCCTGCACCTTTCTTGTCAGCCGTGCCAATGGGCAGTTCAAGGCCACGGAACGTGGAGGCGGAATTTGTGTTTGTGGTGAGGTCGGATCTGCAAAATGAGGTGCTCTCAGAGTCTTAGTGCTCAGGCTAGCCCTGGGCAAATTTAATCAAGAACCGAAAACCGAACTAAAATAACCTAAATCAAAACTAAAAGAACCGGAACTGAAAATTGGGTTCCTTATTCGGTTCCTGATATTGAGAAACCAAACTAATAGAAGAAAATTCGGTTCCTACTCTTATATAACCGAAAGAATCGAATTACATGGATTATACTTCACTTACTTGTATTTTATAAGATTATGTTTGGTTTATGTGTGGTGTTTTATATTTGACCTACTATATATTTGTGTTACTATATTGCTATTATTTTCTTATAAATTATTATTATTAAAAATTAATATAGTGTTGCATAAATTTGTCTTTACAACACATATATTTATTGTTATCTTGAGGTCTAAAAAAGTTCGGTTAGAACCGAAACTGAACCGAAATAACCGAAAATCGAAATTATCGAATTTTTAAGAACCCATCGGTTCCTATTTTCTAACAACTGATTTCTTCGAAAAACCAAGGAAGCGAACCGAGAACCGAATGAGCGCTCACTTTGGCGTTGCTGTTGGGTGTGGGCTGTGGGCCTGTGGCCCTCATCTGGTGATTCCAGGTGAGGGACAGGGATCAGTCGGATGGGTTGCCATTACTAGCTGACAAGGACAGGTTTGGACCATCTGTAGTCTTGACCCGGGCTTGGCCTTATTGACCAGGCCAGATCCCCGGGGCCCGGGCAAGCGCCATGCTTCTGCAAGGCTGCAACTCCATTTAATAATAATCTGCTGCTCATCCTCACATTCGTGAGGTACAGCTAGCTCGACTGCTCCGGACTCTCTATCAGTCTCTCATTCCTATCAGCCCATGTGATAGCTAGCATTTGTGGCTTGTTTTTATTTTTTTGAGCAAAAGCATTTGTGTCTGAGTAAAGCGAAACCCAGAAGCAAGAAGGAATACATGAGTTTTGTTCGGCAAGTAAGCCCAGTAACAATCCACCTGGTCCATCGTGATGGCTCGGCTATCACTATTGGGCCGTCACGTGCTTTGCCCTGATCTTGTGAGAGGAATCTTCGGCCTTTTTTGCATATGATGAAACAATCCTGGCAATGAGCCAATAGCAACAAGGGCGATGGCTCAAGACTCATGAGGCCCATTAATCTAGGGGGCGGGGGCCGGCGGTGGGCCGGCCGCGGGGGGCTCAAAGTGTCGGCCTGTCGCTTTCCATCTCGTGCACCACGGGATCAGCGATGCCGTCCGCGGCCACGCACCAGATCGACGTGACAGCTGACGCGCGCTTCTGCCGGTCGGCCCCGCTCTACCAACTCCTTCGCCTGAAAGCGGCGTCCGAAGGTTCCGGCGGTGGCGTCACGCCATTCCGGGCATCCGTCCGTCCGTCTCGCCGGCCGGCCGACCGGCCGGGGTTGTTACTTACCGACGAATGAATTGAATCCCAGGCTCCCAGTCGACGGCGGCGCGGTGCGGTTACGCTCGGCTTGGCCGGCCGCGGCAACGCAGCTGCCCGCGTCGCTGTCGGCGGATTCGCATCCCATTCGCAATTCCGCATGCGCAGCCTGGGGGTACAGCGCGGGGCCCGGCGCCGGCAGGGACAGGGTAGGGTTTTCAGTTTGTTCCTTTTCCTTGATTGCTCACATGGACCGATTGGGCTGGATAGATAAGCTACTTTATTTCATTATATTATTTGCCCAGGCAGCGCTGCAGGTTTAGCGCAGAAGTTTCACGATCGCGTGCGTGCGCCACTAGATCAATTGCTGTGCTTAATCAAATCGATCGGTTTCCACCACTTGCCCATAAGTTTAGTGCGGCGGAATGGAATGGCCTTGGAGCTTCAGCGCGTTGCGTTGCGTTGCATCTCGAACCGAATAAAGCCGTCAGCCGATGCATCGGTTAGCACGAATTGCGTGCCGATGGATAAGCCGGTGGCACAGTCTGGCACAGCCCGCGATCGCGATCGATTGGCACTCGACGTCGATGATGGGGCAGGCAGCTGCTACACCACGGTCCACAGCTCATCCGGCCTTTGTCACTTTGCTCGTTTTCCTACTCATCGTTCCTATTCCCTTCACAGGCGAGAGAGCCCTTGATGTGATTGTGACGCCCGGGCGCTCCTGCGCCGTCATTTTGGAGCGGTGGCTGGTGGGGCGCGCGTGCCTGTCAGGGGTGGCCCGCCGCTACCACTCGGATGGGCCGCGGACGGCTCAGATCGTCGGTCCCGCTGGCCGTGGCCGATCCTAGCGGTCCAAGCAAGCGCGACACGATCAGGCAGCTGCCGTCGGGATCTGGCGGGCGGTGAGCTGCACGGCCAGTCGGCAGCCGCGCCAGGACTAGAGGAGGCATCATGCGCACAGGGCACGGCACCGCTGTGTGGTCTCGCGCTTGCATTTTTCATTTCACGCTGGCGCTGCGAGACCGTTGGCTGGTCGGCCGTCTCCCGGCGTCGTGGTGCCCGAGATCCTGCTAAGGCCTCGTTCGGTTACTGGAGATTGAATCTCGGCCTAACTATTTCTTCATAAATTTATATAGTGCAGGAACCATTCGTCCGCTCTGGAAGAAACGAACGCAGCCTAAGTACATTTGCAGTCGGCACGGTAGCATTGTTCTGGTGCTGAACGACACGGATCCCAAGAACTGGTTAAAATCTTACGCGATGCACGTCAAAGCCAAGAACCAAAGCTAAAGAAAGTTACACGCGAATGGGCATGTGTGATGGGTCATTACACTACACACCGTACCATTTGGCATGATTTTCGCCCGATGGAAGAAAGGGAAAGAAGTAAAGAAGATTAATTAATGGCCGTGTCAACGTCCAGAGGCTTCAACGCTTGATCTGATCTCATGATGCTGCGTCGGAGGTGCGTGGATTAAATTGAAGCCCGCCCTTTTCATATCTGTTTTTTTTTCTCCCGAAAAGGTCCCTATATATGAGGCGTTGTGCAGCGTCAGATGGTGACCATTCGTGATGCAGTGATCCATTACGCCTAAAGTTGGTAGTGACGCTATCGGTGTAGTTAGCTCGTCCGATCCTATCCATGCAATGATGTCAATATTGGTTTGCTTTTGAACAGTCCACACCAAAATGTTCCATAATACATCTTAACATTGCCACGTTGGAATTTTTTTATGATGCAGAGAAAACACGAAAGGCTGATTGGATTTTTTATGATGCAGAATAAACACGAGAGGCTGAGAGAACCAGAGCAGTTCTCGCTGACACCCTGTTCGCTCGGGCTTGTTTAACTTATAAGCCATATTTTTTTAGCTAACAAACAGTATTTTTTTCTCACACCAAATCAGCCAACAGTACTTTCAACCATGACTTATCAGGAGTCGCTAACAGAAAGAGACTTTTTTTTATGAAAAGACAGAAAGAGACTTTTTTTTTGACGGAAAGACAGAAAGAGAGACATGAGCCTATCACCATCTGAAGGTTCGTATGGTATCACCTTGTTGAACAACAGCCGTTAGATCCAAGGCATGCAGTTCTATCAACTCTATTCCATTGGGAAAAGAATCCAAGATATTCCTACTGCATATTCGGTACCTCAGTCAAATCTGTCTTATCTGATGAATATTCCTGCCTTCGCACGGCTTAGTCAGACCACGTTACCGCTTGATCACGCAGGATCAGTCGGCGAGACTACTCATTGATCAAGCGTAGAATTTATTAATCCCGGCCGACGTAGTGTGTGTGTGGTGCACTTGTTGTACCACACTACCCTTGCTAATGCTGCCGTTAGCGCCGTCGACGGAGCCGCTGCCGCGTCAGCCGCTAGCACGAGCAGGCAGCACAGCACCGGCTCCGCGTTCTCAGGTCACACGCAGAGCTCTGCTGCAGTGCATGCAGGCTGCAGCTGAATGAAAGCTGTCCCTGGCTGTCAGTATCGCGTCTCACTCGCAGCACGATGCTGGATACAGGCTCTCTCTCCGGCGTACGAACGGTGAGATGAAACATTAATTAACCTATGGAATCGATCGAACAGGGTTTACTACCAGAGAGATCTTTGGCGGCTGTTGCACATGATCAGTGTCGTTGTTGGCGGCAGAGAGAAGCCAGCCCAAGAGGCGTGCAAGGACTGAAAAGTAAGGGTTGGTGGGAGAGCCGAGAGCTAGCAGAGCAGGAGCAGCACTGATCTCTCCACGCAGGATCCGCGTCATCACAGGTCAAAATTCCCACGGCAATCTGCACTCCGACCGACCGATCTAGGCGTCCGCGTCCCCTGCGATCTCGCGCGGGCCCATGCCGCCATGCGGCCCGCTAGCTGTCTCGCCCGTCTCATTGCGCTCCCACGCTGACTCACCTCGCGTCTCCTGAACCCTCACCCATTTCCGATTTATTGACGGCCACCCTTCCGCAATCTCTGAAGCTCACCGCACGTCGTGACCTTGCTATGTACTCCAATCTTGTACTCGAGGTCCAAGAAGAGCAGAGCCCCGCTTCCTCCAATCTTGGACTCACCTAAACCTGATACCTTTCCTCGAGGACCTTGACGAAAACAGCCGCCTTTTCGTTGCCGTTTCCTCCTGTGTTATATAAGTCGCTGCGCCGGGCTGAATTCCATTTCATCTCATCTCATTGCAGCATCCTCCACCTCCTGCCCTGCCTCTGCGCCTGCCTGCGTAGTTTGCACACCACAACCGTGTTCTTCTCTCTCTCTCGTTCCCAAGAAAGCGCCGCCGCCGACGCTCTTCGCTCGATCCCGCAAGGCCCGTCCTTCCATGGCCATCGCCTCCCGTGTCACGAAGCGCGCGCTGTCCACCTTCGCCGCCGCCAAGCTCCCGGAGGAGGCGATCGCAGCCACCACCGCGGCCGCGGTGCCGTTGGCGTCGTCGGCGCCCAGCGCGTCGTCCGAGCGGACCACCAAGCAGGTACTGCAGTTCGAGGACACCGGGCGGCTGTTCGCGGGGGAGCCGACGTCGGCGCTGCTGCGCACGCTCGCCGCGCTGCAGGCGCTGTCCGTGGGCCCGCTAGTGGACGTGGCCACCGCGGCGCTGCGGTCGCCGGCGGTGGCCGGCAGCGCGCTGGGCCGGGCCGCGGCCAGGGCCACGGCGTACCGGCACTTCTGCGCGGGCGAGACCGCGGACGAGGCCGCGGCGGTCGTGCGCCGGCTGTGGCGCGGAGGCATGGGCGGCATCCTTGACTACGGGATCGAGGACGCCGAGGACAGCGACTCGTGCGACCGCAACGCCGCCGGGTTCATCTCCGCCGTCGACGTCGCCGCTGCGCTGCCTCCGGGCTCGGTGAGTCGCCGTCACCGCTTACTCTTCCGCCTCTTCGATTTTTTTCCTCCGTGGCTTGCATGGTGGTGGGACGGGAGGCTGCCACGTCGGACGGAATCTTCGGTGCCGTCTGCTCTCTGCGCGAGTGGACGGGCCCCCGGATTCCGTGGGAATCTTCTCGTAGTAGGCTGCCTTCCCTAGTGAATCGTCCGGCTGTCTAGCTAGCTGGCGCTGATTCGGTCACTGCTTGTGGGCCCTGAAAACCAGCTGCTGATTTTATTTTTAGCATGTCACGCAGCCCTGTCTGCGCCGCTCGTTTCAGCCACAAAAACTCTCACACCAAAACCCTACAATACGGAATCTTCCTTATTTAGACATTCCTAATCACTGCGTGCGTTAAACCTCAGAGATTTTGCGTTTCATTCATTCTAGCCCGTTTTTATTTTTAATACAAAAAAGGAGAGAGGTTATGTGATAAATACAGCAAGCAAGTACTGCTCAAATCACATCAAATAGAGTAATTTTGTGATAATGGTGTGTGTTGTTGTGCGTGCAGGCGAGCGTGTGCATCAAGATCACGGCGCTCTGCCCGATCGCTCTGCTGGAGAAGACGAGCGACCTGCTTCGGTGGCAGAAGAAGCACCCGTCGTTCAACCTGCCATGGAAGACGCACTCCTTCCCAATCCTGTCGGAGTCCAGCCCGCTCCACCTGACCGCATCTGAGCCGCCGGCGCTGACGGCGGAGGAGGAGAGGGAGCTGCAGCTGGCGCACGAGCGGCTGCTGGCGGTGTGCGCGCGGTGCGCGGAGCACGGCATCCCGCTGCTGGTGGACGCAGAGTACGCGACGGTGCAGCCGGCCATCGACTACTTCACCTTCGTGGGCGCGCTGGCGTTCAACGACGGCGCCGGCGAGCAGCGGCCCATCGTGCACGGCACCTTCCAGGCGTACCTCCGCGACGCGCGGGACCGGCTGGAGGCCATGGTGCGGTCCGCGGAGCGGGAGCGCGTGCGGCTGGGGCTCAAGGTCGTGCGCGGCGCGTACCTGACCCGCGAGACCAGGCTCGCGGCGGCGCTCGGCGTGCCGTCGCCCGTCCACGGCAGCATCCAGGAGACCCACGACTGCTACAACGGCTGCGCCGCCTTCCTCCTCGACCGCGTGCGCCGGGGATCCGCCTCCGTCATGCTCGCCACCCACAACGTGGAGTCAGGTAAAAGTCGTCCAGGCAGCCCCTTTTACAGCAACTGGCCGGACAAGACAAGCAACTCTTCTCTTCACAATGTATCCCAACTGAACTGATGAGTCGATCGTCGTGCGTTGCCACTTTGCCAGGCCAACTCGCGGCGGCGCGTGCTCAGGAGCTGGGGATCCCCAAGGGAGACCGCAACCTGCAGTTCGCGCAGCTGATGGGCATGGCGGACGGGCTGTCGCTGAGCCTCCGCAACGCCGGGTTCCAGGTCAGCAAGTACCTGCCGTACGGGCCGGTGGAGCAGATCATCCCCTACCTCATCAGGCGCGCCGAGGAGAACAGGGGACTCCTCTCCGCCTCCTCCTTCGACAGGCAGCTGCTCCGGTACGGCGGGCCATCAGGCATCTATCTGCTGCAAGACAGAGTACTCCCATTGATGTGAATTGTGTGATCTGACATTTGTTTTTGGCTTGATGGTGCATGGTCCGGTGCAGGAAGGAGTTGGTGAGGAGGGTCAAGACCGCGGTGGCGGGACGTGAGTGGAGTGAACTTGTCGAGCCTTGTGAGGGTCGGGTCGGGTCGACCGTGCCTGTGAAGGTGAAGCTGGGACAAGGGCGAGTTGAAGGCTAGTAGGAAGCTGTAAATACACCCTTCAACAGTCTTCAGACATTGATGTATCCGGGGCTTTTCTTGAATAATCGAATGAATGGAATAATGTTCTTGGTAGTTTTAGGCTATCGAATCGACTCACATCGCCCTCCAGCCCACCTACATACATTTGCGCGCGCGCTTAGGATGTACACTCACTGCGGTTTCCTTTTTTCCTTCCCCTTGGGAAACAGTGAATCGCTAATTAACCACGATGCCCATTGCAGCATTCGTTCCACTTCCACATAACACGCGCACTCAATGCAAGGAAGAACAACAGCCAATCGAGAGCCCGTTCCATGGGAGTGTATGACGTACGCCAGGCATTAGCTCTTGCGCTACTCGCCTAGTCCATTTTGATCGCTCGTTTGTTTGATGAGCTGCACGTTGCACTCCGCTAAACAACATCCCTTCTTCTACGCTGCGCCGCCACACTGAAGACTTCTCCATCATCTTGGTTCACCGCTATGCACTGGCGATCCGCAATTCTGCGCGAAGAGGGAATACTCAGCACTCAACCAGCCATTTGTTGCTTCGTCTACACTTTCCATCTGCAACGTCTCCATCATCGTCACGTGGTCTTCTACGCTACACCTGGAGCTGGGCTGGGCTGGGCCGGGCTTAGGTTGACGGGAAACAAACATTTCAGGCCTAAATTGAATGCGGAGGTCTAGCTCTAAGTTACTCCGTCTGTCCCAATTCTAGTTTCATCATGTGCTAAAAAAAAAGGTTCTAGTTTCGTCTTAAGTCGAATTTCTCTAACTTTGATTTAGTTTTGCCGAAAAAATATAAGCAACCTCGAATTAATTTCATTAATTCTTGCATGTAATTGACCAACTATTTTAAAGTTACTTCCTTCGCCACGAATAATTAAGAATTTAAGATGCACAATGCACATGTTGTCCCGAATAATTATGTGCACATGTCGTGTCCGACTAGACGACTATGGAGTTCTTTTCATCAAGTCAAGTCTACAAATCTACAAAATAGAATAGCAGACTTTATCCATCCATCATTCAGAATTCCTCCCAGAATCGCATTACAGAGCCAAACTTGCTTTCGAAGTCCTTGACGAACAAGCAAAAGCTTGCTGGATCACGCGAGCCTCTGGTAGTTGCGAATTCCTCCCCTCGTGCCGAGAAAGAGTAGTACCAATAGTAAGGAAACTTCATTTTGTAGACCAGCTTTTGCTTGTTCACGGCGCCCTGGCGCACCAGGTGGCCGCTGCGCCGGAGCGCGCGGGGCAGCATCCACGTCCAGTCGTTCACGGTTCACCTCTTACCTCTAGTAGACTAGAAGAACCTGAACAAGGTTCTTGGTTTTGGTTGGGTGGAACGTGTTACGTGTAGGAGCTTGAGTTGCTGACTTCACTTTGTGTGGGCGCTTGAAACTTCCCTTTTCTAGCCCGGCCGTTAGATGCATGGGCTGGCCATAATCTTCCAAGAACTGTCTCTGAGTCCGAGCCAAGAGCCCAAACTCTGACGTAGGTATAGTGGGCCGACGCCATTTGACGCTGAGAAAATGCAGGCCCATTATAATTTTTCCTTTGCATGAAATTCATGGAACATGGGCCAGGCTCGGGTGGAGCTGCTGGTAAGATGTCTAATACCATCTCCAACCGTTTGTTAAACATACTCTCGGTCTTGTCATCTAACCTCGTTCCAATAAATACTTATCCTAACTCTCAATCTATATGGTTACAAAAAGAACTCTCAATCTATATGCACTTGGAAAAATAGAGGTATCCACTAGCAAATATACACACACGACCTATACTATTGATGCCACTGGCACCGTCTTTTACTCAGTTCCCTATCATCCCCAATTGTAGCCGCTCGTTGGTTTACTTGAATTGGATCTCCATACACTGTTTTTATATTTGAGAATTTTGGGACATAGAGCAGGCAATGGAGATTTCATTTTGGAAATCCTAGGTGTGAGTTATGGTACTGGGATGACTGGCCACGGCTCAAATGCCACATCCGCCTAGGAGGTTCGTTGGAATTGGATCTCTGACCACTATTTTCATACATGGAAATACTAAAAGGTAGACCAAACAATAAAGAAATCTGTTTTAAAGATTCTGGGTGTGAGCTATGGTTTCGTGCATAAGGATGGCCAGTCATGGTGGCGAGTTGTCTCCTCATCCATAATCGGTTGCTCGGCATGTATCAGAGATGACAATTAGTATGGTTTTAGGAACGAATAACGGGGAAATGTTGGTTGAGTATTTTCTTTGTATTTTTAGAGAGGTTCCAAAAAACAAAAATTTGGTTTTTTTTTATATTATTGAAGATTCTCTAATGGTGTTAAAAATAGTCTATTCGTGTCCCTTCTAATCCCTCTAACCAAACAAGAAATAGAGACGAATCTATCCTCTTAACCAAACACATGAGTGGAACAATAAAAACACATGCGGCGGTCTTGTGCTAACTAATGTGTGTTGATGGATCACCGGTGTCAAGCTTCGAGGCACATGGACAATTACAATAACATCGTTCTGCACTGTGAAGTGTGAGGCGGCTTAAGCCATATTCAATCTGTCCCTGTATAAATTAACTTCTAAGTTATCTTAAGTCGATTTTTTAAGATCTAACTAGATTTATACAAAAAGCACAAAACAATATGACAATAAATTAGTATTGTTAGATATAGCATAAAATATATTTTTACAATATACTCATTTGATATCATAAATATTTATACTTTTTTTTATAATTTCGCTTAAACATAATTTTTTACTTAATACGATTCTAAAACTTGATTTATTTTGACTATTTATGAGTACGTCATAAACCTAATAGTGTATTTAGTTCAACATTTAATTAATCCTAGGGCAGATGACACTATCCCTTATGTTTTAGGAGGGCTCCGCTAAATATTATAACATGCTAGAACACTTCTAAGTATCCAATTTTAGTAGTACAGAAGGATTTTTTTCTGAAATTTTTACAAATAGGGGTTGACATCTTTTTAAAGAATAGTGGTGGCCTGATGAAAATTTTCCAAATAGAGGTGGACATTTTTTAAAAGAAATTTAGAACTGGCTTCTCGGCTGTCTGCAACAAACCAGTAGTTATGCTTCTCGCAAAAAAAAAAAAAAAAAAAAAAAACTAGTAGTTATGCTTCCATGTCACAACGGCCAACTAACACAGAGAGCCCTTGCCAAATATTGCTGATCAGGACGGCCCATCAACGGTAATGAGGCGCCGTGCTCCCGGACTCCAACTGCATAACTCGATGGCTTGCGCCCTTGGCCATTTATTTCTTTGGAAGTTTAACCGAATCTTGAAGTTGTTAGATGTTTTTTTTTCCTAGCAATTTCTGGCCAGTTAGGATGTCATTTTTGGCATATGTTGGAGTAACTTGTTTGTTGGAAACCAAAAAGTGATTTAATTCACATACACTACAAAGCAGTACAAAAAAATTAGAACCCACTCTATTACCGTTAAAGGTCTAATGGGGTTATAACCGATATGAAAATAAATGGAAGTACGCTTCAAGTTTTTAGAGTCTTTTTCAAATCTATAAAAAAACATCACAGAGTTTCAATTCTTAAAAAATACAGAGGAACACTTTTCAATTCTATAAAAAAATACAGTCTATCAATTCTTGAAAAAAAATACAAAGGAACAAAAGAGTTGGTAGGAGGACAAAGTTTGCGAGCCCAAGCTCCACGAAGCAGGCTGCGCGTGTGGCGCGCACAGCCTGGCGACAACGACCTGGGTAGTGCACATCTTGCACACCCTTTGTCGCCCTGACTCCGTGGAAGCCCACCTCGGCGAGATAACGGGCTTCGGGCCAGTTAGGATGTCATTTTTGGCATAGGTTGGAGTAACTTGTTTATTGGAAACCAAAAGGTGATTTAATTCACATACACTACAAAGCAGTACAAAAAAATTAGAACCCACTCTATTACCGTTAAAGGTCTAATCGGGTTATAACCGATATGAAAATAAATGGAAGTACGCTGCAAGCTTTTAGAGTCTTTTTCAATTCTATAAAAAAACAACACAGAGTTTCAATTCTTAAAAAATACAGAGGAACACTTTTCAATTCTATAAAAGAAATACAGTCTCTCAATTCTTAAAAAAAATACAGACACTACTACACAAATGATTTTACAAGACAGTGCTCTTTTATTAACGGAGGCGGTCACAAAATTCATCCGCCTCAGTTAATGCCTGCCATTAACGGAGGCAGGCATTTTTTATTTACCGAGGCGGGCACTTTTTAACCGCCTCCTAAAATCGATTTATGAAGGCGGACATATTAAGACAACCGTCTCCAAAAAAATCCCTTATTTTCGGAGGCAGACGTATTAAGGCAACCGCCTCCAAAAATTCATTTCCGGAGGCGGGCACACTATAGCCCGCCTCCACAAATAGTGGCCCAATTCTCAGCCCAAGCAAAAGCCCACATCTATCCTCACCCGGGCTCATATATAAGCGATACTTAAGGTTCCACTCTCCAAATCCGCTCGAAACCGCGCCCCTCCGATCCCCTCCCATTTTTCTCCTCCCTCCCCACCTAGCACCCCTCTCCCTTAGTCCCCCCCTCTCTCTCTCTCTCGATCGGGCCATGGGGCTCTCTCTGGTCCGTTGGGCTCTCGGCTTTGTTTTTATTATTTTATTTTGATCACGGATTAACCGTGACCATTAATTGAAGGCGGTTGCAATGCCCGCCTCCAGAAACCAAAAAGGCCCGCCTCCAATAATCATTCTGTAGTAGTGAGAGGAACAAAAGAGTTGGTAGGAGGAGATAGTTTGTGAGCCCACGCTCCGCGAAGCAGGCTGCGCGTGTGGCGTGCACAGCCTGGCGACAATGACCTGGGTAGTGCACATCTTGCACACCCTTTATCGCCTTGACTCCGTGGAAGCCCAGCTCGGCGAGATAACGGGCTTCGACCTGGGCGAACCCCGACCCCATCAACCCACCGACGATTGCCGGCCTCCCGGGCCAATGCCACCCCCTATTCGGCA